CACCCCATCAGCCATCCAACCTGGTGGGAAGAAAGGTCATTTTGTGCAAAAAACAGGTCAATACTAGAGTACTATTTTGCTACTGGCTCTTTGTGGTTTTTTCTGCAGTGTCAGGGACAATGTAGTGACCACTGTATGAAGCAAATGTACTTTTTTTGTACATTTTTATGTACGAAACATGTGAAGCAGTACGGTAAACAGAAAGGGTGGTTCTGTCTGGTGCCAGCTGGCATCTTGGTCTCTGACCCAGTGTCTCTGGCACTTTGCTGTGTTCCAGCCAGCCCTGCAACAGCTTCACCTCGGGGCATAGCTGAGCCACACTGGTGGCACCTCTGGGAAAATATATTTGAGAAAGAGCAAAACGCCACACAGGGAGGGAAAAAGTGTGAGGAATAGCCCTGTAAACACCAAGGTCAGAGAGGATGGAGGGGGAGGAGGTGCTCCAGGTGCTGTAGCTGAGATTGCCTCGCAGGCCGTGGAGGGCCCTGTGCTGGAGCAAGGGGACATTTCCTGAAGGAGCAGTGGCCATGGAGAGCCCATGCTGGAGCAGGTTGATCTTGAAGGACTTCAGTTCATGGGAAGAACCCACCCTGGAGCAGGGGAAAAGAGCGAGGTGGACAGAGCAGGAGAGACAAACTGCTGTGGAGTGGCCTCAGCCCCCCATTCCCCTTAGCCCCCCTGCTCAGGGAGGGGAGAGGTAGAGGAGTTGAAAATGAAGGAGCAAAGCTGAGCCTGGGAAAATGGGGAGTAAGGGAGGCGTTGTTTTGTTTCTCACTATCCAAATTTATTTTAATTAAATTATTTTTCCCCAAGTTGAGTCTGTTTCCCCTGTAACAATAAGAAATCACTTCCCTGTCCTTATCTCGACCCATGAGCTTTTTCACCTTATTTTCTCTTCATGCCCTGTTGAGGAGGAGGAATGAGAGAGGAGCTGGGTGGGTGCCTTGCAGCCTGCTAAGGCAGATCCACTGCACTTGTTTTCTTTTAATCTAGAGACGGAAGAACTGAGATGCTGGTTTCCAAGCAGCAAATGCCAGTCCTCAAGCAGGGTGGCCATGAAGTGATACTTGCCATTGGAATCTCTTGGGACCTGTGTGGACCAGCACTCTGACTTGCCTCAGACTTAATCTTTGGAGTTGTCTCACATGCTCTCCTTTTCCATTTAAATATTAACAGCTTTTGTTGAGTTTTCAATGTTTTTAATCCTATTTTTGCTTTTCTGGTCTCCCAGGGGAGCCCAGCCCAGTCAGAAAGGTCTCCATCAGCCTCTCGGTTGTTTCCCACCATGCTCTTACCCTTCCACATCTGCAGTGACAAAAGGGAAGGCTCTACAACACATACTTAAAAGGCAACTTTAGCTCAGATACCTCTCAGATCCAAAAAAAAAAGACGTGTTACATTAGTGACATCAACAGAACTTCACAGCTGGAAGAGAGACACGATGGGAAAATAGCAACTACTGCAACCACTTTTGATCTCCACCTTTCCTGAGAAAAACAGCAGGTGTTGTCTTCTTGTAGAACCAGGAAGCTATAAACAGTTGGGTCATGAAAGTTAGGGAAGTAATGCAGTAAAGGAATGTGTTTGGTATTGACTTACCAAAGGATCAGATTGGGCTGCTGGGCTACACCCTTCAGTGTCTCTGCCTATAAATTCCGGTGCCCTCCTGTATCAGGAGCTCCAGGGAGATGGCTGCCGCCGTGATCTTGTCTTGGATGGTAATGATGAGTCTTCAGGTTCAGGTGGATGCAGGTAAAGCGTCTCACTTCTGATCCCCTTCCTGACGATATTTCACATCAGGCTAATGTTGAGATTTAAGGGTAAAAGAGGACTTAGCAGCATGGCTTAGCTCTTTCAAAAACCATAAGCAAGTCAAACCTATGAACTGAGCAAATAAATTGTTATTAATTCAAAAGCTTTTATTAAAACTGCTCAGTGAATTTTTGTATATTTTTGTAAGGAGACTAGTAAAGCAAATTCATTTGAATATACTGAAAAACCAATGGTATAATTTTCCAAATCTCTGTATTGGGATAATGAATTTAAAGACTAATATGTATTTTTGGGGTGAAATGCATGTTTATTTTAAAGAGCTTGAGGTGCTCTTTGAACCATATATTTTGTATTTGATTAAGTATATTGTTACAGCTGACACACTGGTGTTTAATAACAGAGTGCCCTAGATAAAACCAGGACGGCACTTGTCCCTGTTCCTCTTAATATTGTAATTATTAGAATATAATAAGAATTACTGTCATTTTATATTATTCTGATTTCCCATAGTCTAATGCCTGTTACGAGTGTAATTTGATTTGGTTGCATCTGCCCAGCCACTTTTGTCCCTTTGGGGACCAGTACAAATATCAGGGGGATCTGATGAGAGGGAGGATGCTTCAAACAGGGTAAAATGGTCTTCCTGTGTTCAAAACACACTTTCCCCTTTTTCAGGTGAGGCTCCCCTGGCTGAGCAGAATGCCAGCATGGTGCCGTGAGAAACAAGGCATACATTTTCAAGCAGCTGTGTCACATTCTTTTTTGAGGAGGGTGGAACAGAAAAAAGATCAAAAGCGTTTGCCAAAGCTGCTGTTTTTCCATCCCTTCCTCTTTCAGATGTAAAGTTCTGAAATGAACTTGGCTTAGACTAGTGAACCAAAAGCAAAAACCTGCTTTGCCTTTCTGTGCTCCCACACACATCCGTGTACACAATGGAAAGATAGAAGCGTTCACGGCTGTTTCTGGGGTCAGGTTTTTAATGCTCTTATTATTTACTCCCTCCATAAATATTTGAAGTGCAATTAGTGATATCAAAAAACTAAGATGGAATGCTGATATTGAGCTGGAAAATACTGAGGTTTTAATCCGTACATTTCAGCTGTAAATCCCTGCATGCATGAGGAGCAGTGTGGTGGGATGTGTTGAAAAGTTCCCTGCTCACTGAATAAATGTCACTGAATAAATGTCAAATCCCTGTTAGGATCTTCTACATCCAGAAATCACTTTAAATACAGAAACTGCGTGTTTTAAGGGCCACTGTTACAGGCCTTGTCGTACATGATATGAGTCAGTGAAGGCATGTTCCCACCTCTCAGGCTGCCCATGGAGCAGGATTTCTATGTCCAACAGTAGTTGGACCTGATCTACCCAGCTGTCAATCAGCAGCCATCCCTTTATCAGTGTCACCAGGGGATCCCGTGCATGCAAACTTTCCATCCACTTTATTTAATTCATGTAATTGCCTTTCAAACTTTTTTTTTTTTTTGATTGCTTGTGATTGCAATGTCTGCAGTTTCTAGAAGAAACACTTCTAAGAATGTGTAGGTTAGAATTTATATAAAAATGCACATAGTTTATAGAGTTGGCATTGCGAAATATTCTCTGCAGGTTGATGCTTGCAGCTGAAAACTTTTCTATTACAGTTGTAGACAACGTAGCCAACCTACCGTTATAGTCCAGGGTTCAGTGTCCTTCAGACTGGCCTAAATGCTGAGATGCACCACCCATACACAGTCTATATGGTAGCATGTGCAGGCAATTAAAATGCAACATGTAATTGGATATATATCACTCCTCTCCAAGAAAGAATGGAAGTCATTGGTGCAAGGAAGAGCATAAATAAATAAGTGCTTGGGTTAAAACCTTAAAAATAATAATGCCATGTAAAAAGGGGAGGCTGTATCTATGCAGCAGTTTCTGAGTATCTGAAAGCCCAGAGGAAAGTTATCCGCAGTTCGAACAGACAAATTTTAATGGAATACAATTTTGTAGACTGTTTTCCATTGACCTATACAGAGACAGAGCAGGACCTCACTGGCCCTGTGAAATGCTCTTATTCGATTATAAGATTGGTGCTGTCACCTGACCTGGTGGCCTAATTTTTCTAGCCTCATCTATGCTCGCTCTCCTCTTACAAGACCCATCAGCTCATCTTTTCCCAAACTGCAGTTCTTACAAAATAATATAGTGACACTGTGATTAAGGCAATACGGAAACCACTTTTGTTTCAGTAACTGCAGTTATTAAAATAAGTCAAACACTGGAACAACTTTGTTTATATTTGAAAACTGTTTTTTAAACAGCCAAACACACCTATTTTAAATCCTTTTTAAACATTTCTGTGAGAGGACGTTGGGAGAGTTGTCAGCCCTGATGGAGAAGGGTAATGGTGGTCTATACACTGTCCTGTGCCCAGGGTTCGAATAACCCCATAAAACCCTATCTCAGGAAACAGCTCTAGGTTAGGTGAAAGGAAGCACTGGGAAGATATCACCTTCCTGGGCCTGCAAGAGCCGTGTCCCACAGGACACCTCTGATCTGCTGGTGCCACCTGGAGGGCTCTCCATCGAGTGTCCTGCACAGGAGCCTTAGCAGGGAAAACTCCGAGCCGGAGTTTCTGCCACCAGCTGGTTTTAGCAGCAAGGAATGATGAAATCTTGAAGGGAACAAGAGTAGCTTAAATGTGGTGGGAATGTGAGCAAAACCTGTCACATTTAGGTTTTTGTCTGCAGCTGTGCAAAATGAAGAAGGATAGTTGGATGTGCAGCCTCCCTTCCATATCAGCCTTTCTCTGACTGCTCCCCAGATAGTTTTCTGTCATATTCATTGCTGTAAAGATTTTTAGGGTAGATTTTTTCTTCTTGGTATGGAGAAAGGGAGGAGGAGACAGCTGTTCACAATAAATCTCATGCAAGAAGCAGAGCCATGAACTTCTGATCAGATCAGGTGAAACCAGCATTACCTTGTTCAAAGCAAACAGAGAGAGAGTCTTCTCACTTCGAGGGCACACAGGACCCTCTGGGCCAGGTGCAGGTTCAAAAAGATTTGTTGTCTAATGGAGGAAAAACTGCCGAAGTTTACTGAAATATAAAGTTCTTGAATCTAAAGTTTGTCACCCACAAATTACTAGAGGCTGGAACAGTGCTTGGGGAAGTTTTAAATTATATTTGCCTTGTTGATCTCACCATATGGCATCGTGCATATTTTTTTCTTCTCTAGAGGAAACAACAGCTCCCTCAATGACAACTGAGACCACTACTAGTAAGTAGAATCTATTGGATTTTTAATTTATATGGTAGCGATAGCTTTATATTTTTGACGTCATATGTATTCTTGGGAAGAAAGGTGATGATCAAAAACAGCACGTATCCTTCATGCTGAGGTGAAGGATGTGTATGAGGGACTAGTTCTTTGGGAGCCAGGATTTCAGGGGTTGCTCAGGTCCCTGGCAACCAGCATCCATGGTAGGAGGAAGCGATCTTCTGTCGCTTGTGCCCTTCGCCGGGGACTTGACTTGACTCACTGGGAAAGGGTAAAGGGCACTGATGGCCCCCAAGGGATTTGTCCTAACTCGCTTTCTCCCCGTGTGTTTTTTTCTGCTTGTTCTCGTCCACAGTTGGAATCATAGCTGATGGTGAGTCTGTCTGCCAGGGCTGTCACCGTGTCCCAGGGCAGGGGGCCGTGTGTGCACGCTGCTGCCCCGGCCTCTGCGTCCCCCAGCGTGGGAGCCCGAGAAGGTGCTGGGGGCCCTGGGCCGTGCTGTGGGCGGATGGCGCTGGGTGTCAGGGGCAGCCGTGCCCGGGGAGGACGTGGGAGCCTGCGCTCTCCCGTTCACTGTTGTTGCCTGCAAGCAGAGCACTGCTGGCCTGACCGGGGGGTTTGTGTCTCTCCAAGAGCTGTTGGTGCAGCTGAGCGGTGGGCCGAACCGATGTGCAGGCAACGTGGAAGTCTTCTACTTTGGAGGCTGGGGAAAAGTGTGTGGGCAGCTGTGGGACCTGCAAGACGCCCAGGTTGCGTGCCGGCAGCTTGGCTGCGGCTCGGCTCTTGGTGTGATGCACCGTTTCCCGTCGGGCGGCTGGTACCCGTACATGATGACGGAGGTGGATTGCACGGGCTCTGAAGACTATTTGTGGCAGTGCCCTTACAAGGAAGAGTACTCGGACTGTGAGTCCGGGGACGCTTCAGTCATATGCTCAGGTGGGTTTTTGCGTTTTGGTGGCGTTTTCCTGCAGACGCCCCGTCGGGAGTTAGTGTGAGGCTAGGCGAAGGCTGGCCAGCCCTTGCTGCGTGTCTGCAGGGCAGCAGCGGGTCGTGGGTCCGTGTCCCTGTCGCAGGGTCCCGTGTTTCAGAGGGGGCACCGTGGCTGCTCTTGCAGACTGTGCTCGGGAGACCTGAGGATTGGCGATGGCTCGCACGCAGAGCAGGGTGCGAGGAGGGCGTTGGTTTTGAGCCAGACCCTCCTCCCCACGGGTCCCTCCATAGCTGTCCATGAGCTTATAGCCTGTGGTGTGAGGGGAGCCGGGGGATCCGAGTGCCTCACACCCTCGGCTTTTCTCCTTTTCCAGACTCGGGACTAACAGTGCCTCCGCCAACAGGTAAGCAGAGATTTCTGTTTCCTTTTCCATGGGGTACTCTGACCCTGCGATGCTCTGTTGTGGTCAGAGCTCAAGAGGCAAACATGGGCTGTGCTTCCAGACCCTGGGCAATGCTCCCGATGCTCAGGGATTTGAGGGATCACTTGATTGCAGAGGAGTGGCAGCGGGATGTGGTTAATACATTGCTTCAGATCCTTTGGAACTGAACAGGTGCCCCTTTTGTGGGAGAGGTTTGGCCCTGGTCTTCATGGTGCTGCACTAGTGATGCCCTTGAGCACGTGCTGGGGTCGTGGGTACTGCTGCTGTCTTGCTCAGTCCTGCCACATTGCATTGCCAACTGTTTGTTTTGTGTTTCATTGTCCTGGGATTGCCTTTGGTGAGTGGTGGCTCCCAACAAAATGTTTCTCATAGCAAAACACTATTTGTTCGCCTTCTGCTCTCTCCCTGCAGCATCAGATAGCTTCAGCTTGACTCCCCCTGTGTCATCGGCCACAGGTATGTCTGGAGGTTTTGAGAGGTCTGTCTAGCTCCTGCCCCCAGTTATGGATCACAGAATCACAGGATGGCTGACGTCAGAGGGGACTTCTGGAAGACATCTGGTCTAACCCCCTGCTAAAGCCAGGTCACCTAGAGCTGGATGCCCAAGGGCATGTCCAGAAGGCTCTTGGCCATCTGCACGGATGGAGAGTCCAATATCTCTGTGGGCAACCTGTGCCCATGCTCAGTTACCCTCAGAGTGAAAAAGTGTTTCCTGATGTTCTGAGGAACCTCCTGTGTTTCATGGCCACTTGTGCCATCAGTGGGCACCAATGGAAAGAGCCTGGCTTTTGGTGAGGTTTGTCTCCCAGCAAGTTAATCCTCTGAGGAAAAATGCTGCTCACTGACATGCTGATTTCTCCCTGCAGGACCAGGTAGCTTCAGCTCGACTGCCGCTGTGTCATTGATCACATTTAGGCCTGGAGGGGTTAAGGGGTCTGGCTGTCTCCTGCTCCAGGTGTTCCCGTGGACAGCCCGGCCCTGCTGGGGGTTACTACCCACGCCGAGAGAACCTGTGCTCTGGGCTGGGGGGGAGGCTGGGATAAGGCTTTGGGGTGCAGCCACGTGCCTGGGAGGGCGAGTCTCTGTGGGACTGTGGCAGAGCCCTTCTCTGACATCTTCTGGTGGCAGGATTTCAAGAGCTCTCTGCCCATCCCCAGGCTCTACTCTTTTCCTCAGGGTCTGGCTCCTGTGGTGGCTTGCTTCAGGGTTTGTCCGGCTCAGTCCAGAGCCCAGGCTACCCCGACTCCTACCCCAACAGCGCCCGCTGCGTGTGGCGCGTACGGCTGCGGGACCTGGGTCGCAGAGTCGAGCTCCGGTTTTCGGATGTTGAGTGAGTCCAGCGGGGTGGTGGCTGTGGTGTGGGCAGGGTGCTCAGTGCTGGCTGTGGGCTCAGGGGTGGCTTTGTCCCCATCATGGGGGTCTTGGCCAGGAGTCAGGTTGTTTAAGCCCTGCAGTTCCTGCCGCTACTCGTGCTCGGAGGCTGCGCAGCCTGTGTTGCAGACAGAGCCTCTTCTCCTTCCTCAGGCTGGAAGGCAGCAACTGCCGGTACGACGCCATCGAGGTGTATGATGGGGGGTCCCCTGGGAGCCCACTTCTTGGGACTGTTTGCAGGAATGACCATCAAGTCTTCAAATCATCCGGGCACCAGCTGACCATCCTGTTTCGCAGCGACATCAGCATCACCCGGAGAGGTTTCCAGGCCTACTACTACACCACAGGTAAGACCCGAGCCATCCTTTACTCTTTGACAGGGCAGAAGCACAAACTCTTCCTTAAAGGCCTTCTGATGGCTCCTGACACCTATGGAGATCCGGACCCTCTGGCCCCACTGACAGGCATTTTGGGTCAGGGGCATCTTTTTGGAAAGGACTACCACCAGACTGCTGCCAGAATGCTGTTTCTTTGCCTAATGGGCACAGACAGGGATTTCTCCACCCTTTGCCAGTGCTGCTGCTGAGCCATCATCGATTTTTCCAGCCTTTACTGCAGGCAGACCCTGGGATACTCCCGTTGGGCTCTTCGTCTTAGGTAAAATGCTGCTCGCTCACTTTCTACTCTCTCCTTGCAGTGCCAGGTATCTCCAGCTTGACTTCCCCTGTGACACCAACCACAGGTAGGTCTGGAGGGGCTGAGTGCTCTGGTTATCTCATTCCCTTGCTCAGGGTCACAGAATCACAGGATGGCTGAGGTTGGAAGGGACCTCTGGAGGTCATCTAGTCCAACACCCCCTGCCAAACCATTGCAGGGTCACGTTGAACTTGGTGTCCACCAGGACCACCATGGTGTTTTCTGGAGAGCTGCTTCCCAGCAGGCAGCCCACAGCACGTACTGGTGCTTGGGGTTGTTCTTACCCGGGAGCAGAACTTGGTGCTTCTCCTTGTTGAACTGCATGAAGCTCCTGTTGGCCTGTTTCTCCAGCCTGCCAGGAGCCCTCTGGATGGCAGCAGGACCTTCTCGTGGATCAGCCGCTCCTCCTAGTTTAGTGTCATCAGCAAACTTGCTGAGGATCCACTCTGTCCCATCATCCCAGTGACTAACAAAGACATTCGAGGCCCTGCTGGTGGGAGCTATTGCACATGCAGAATGCGAGCCGTGCTCAGGACTGGTGGGATGGAGGGGGAAGGCTTTGAGGTGCAGCCACACAGGGACCTGTCACACATTCAGGTGGTGACTGTGGGTCTTGGGTTGTGGTGTCGCAGGAGTTTCAGTGTCCTGGGAGCCCTCTGGGAAGGGCTGACTGCCAGAGGGTTGTTTCTCTTGGGCAAAATGCTGCGCATTCACCTGCTGCTCTCTCCCTGCAGCACCAGGTGGCTCCAGCTCAACACCCGCTGTGTCATCAACCTCAAATAGATTTGGAGGATGTGAAGGGTCTGACTAGCTCCCGCCCCCGGTTACTGATCACAGAATCACAGGATGGCTGAGGTTGGAAGGGACCTCTGGAGGCCATCTAGTCCACCCCTCCTGCTAAAGCCAGGTCACCTAGAGCTGCCTGCCCAAGACCATGTCCACAGGGCTCTTGGTTGTCTCCCAGGATGGACAATCCACCACCTGTGGGCAATCTGTGCCCATGCTCAGTCAACCTCACTGTAAAACAGTGTTTCCTGATGTCTAGGCAGAGCATATATGGAGCATCTGAGATGGGGTCCCCAGATGGGGCTCATGTTTGTGTTGGGGCTGTGTGTGTACGAGTGCAGGCAGAGGAATTGCTTGGTCCTGGTTGTAGCCAATGAGAGGGATATTACTGCTTATAATTTTGGGGCATATCCCTCTTCATTTAGTGTTCAAAGCATTGTACAGGTTCTAGTTGATTCAGTTATGTCTGCATTTAATGTGAGTAGTTTTCTAGGCCTGCATTGTAGGCACTGAATATTACCTGTAGATTCCAGATTCTTATCTCGAGAACAGGAATTACTAGGTTCAGCCTTCTCCACAGCAGGCTTTCTAGGAAATCATGCATTTACTGTGCACATTGCTGTAAGGATACAGAAGAGTTTAGAATGCATAATAGGAAACCTGACTATGTGAATTAATTTTGCATTTTATTTTACATGCCAAACAGGGAAACAATAATACAATAATCTATTCCAACCTTATTAGAGGATCCTCTTCTGATACTGTAGTCACAAGAAATAAAAATCTTCGCTTGCATGTTCACTGCAAAATGCTCCAGGACACATGGACACAAATAATGTATGCTGCAGAGGACAATTTTGAAGGCAATGAAACTCAGTATGGCAGATATGATGTAAACCTTACATTTTATGATCCTGCATCCTTCTCACGGCCAGTGTATGACTCACCATACTATGTTGATATCGACCAGAATTTGTTCCTTGAAGCTTACCTGCACAGCTCTGATCCAAACCTGGTGTTATTTGTGGACACATGTGTGGCATCTCCCACTCCCCACAATTTTACGACAGTAACCTCTGATATAATCAGGAATGGGTAAGCTTTCGTGTATCACCATTACAGATAGCACTGCCTTTGAACGCCTGTGTCTCTTTTTTCCTTTTTTTCCTTTTTTCCTTTTTTCCCTTTTTCCTTTTTTTCCTTTTTTCCTTTTTTCCTTTTTTCCTTTTTTCCTTTTTTCCTTTTTTCCTTTTTTCCTTTTTTCCTTTTTTCTTTCTCTTTCTCTTTCTCTTTCTCTTTCTCTTTCTCTTTCTCTTTCTCTTTCTCTTTCTCTTTCTCTTTCCCTTTCCCTTTCCCTTTCCCTTTCCCTTTCCCTTTCCCTTTCCCTTTCCCTTTCCCCTTTTCACTTTTCACTTTTCACTTTCCCCTTTTCACTTTTCACTTTTCACTTTCCCTTTTCCCTTTTCACTTTCCCTTTTCCTGATATTGTAAATACAACATACATTTATGTCAACTTCTAATTAATGAAAATGTGCATTTGGGGTTTACTGGAGGAAAGGGGATGGATTGACCCAAAATAGAACATACACACACAGAGAGAGCTTAAAATGACAGACTAAATGGCTGTGGCCAGTTCACCATGGATTGTTATTATCGAAGAGGTAACAGTGCCATATCTCAGGTAAGGATTATTCACCTTCAGATGAACATACAAACACTAGGCATCCAGATGACAGGCTGAGAGGAGGTATCATGGCTCAATGCTTCCAAAAAGGGGCATCTTGCTTTTCCCAGTTTCAGGTTTCTGAACCATTTCCATCCTGTCTCAAAAAAACACTTTTCATGTTATGTGTTATATTGCATGTAAATGACTGATTGCAGTGCGTATTCATGAGAGTTTTTGGTTTCTTTTTAGGTGTGTTTGAGAGTCTACCTATGCTACATATTATTCACCCTACAGACACATGGTTGGGTTTAAATTCAATGCCTTCCAGTTTGTTCGTAACAATCCATTGATTTACCTGCGGTGTGAACTAGTGGTGTGCAGGATCTCTGACTATTCTTCCAGATGGTACCAAGGCTGTGTTACTAAATCCAAGAGAGAAGCAAATTCTGGCCAAGAAAGTGTGGCTGTTGTTGCTGACAGATTCAGGAAGCTGGCACTGAGAACAGGAATGCGCGTGATTTTAGATAAAACTATTTCCTTTGACAGATAGCACCTTTAAATGCCAATTTAATTCTGAAAGAAACTATGCTGCTGCTGGATTACCAGCAGCTCTACAATAAATATTAGGAACGTGCTTACTGACTCAAGCCTGTTAATGCCACTTCACACCAGTTGTCTTCATCTGCCTCTAACAAAAACTCTGCTTCAGCAGTTCTGTGGGGAGTCTGATGGGATGGGCACGGGCAGCTCTGTGACACTCACCTCTTCCCAAAGGGCCTGCTGCTTGGAGCTGTCGCATCCAAAAAGCCAGTCTGAAAACTTTGTGATCTCTCAGCTTTTTGTTTGTTTTCTTAACGGTGAAAAAGTGAAATGTTTAAATTCTATAAACAACCTCTACCAAAATAAACCTGAACCTGGAGGTATCGGAGTGCAAGAAATTGACTAGTCATTAAATCTGATCTAGAATGCCATTATTTTTCATTTTTTAATGTTTTGGAGATAACAAGATGAGGGAGCAAATGTAACCAGGTCCTCTCATCTTTCCCAGAGTTGGACTCTTGTCATCCAGGAGAACATGAATTCAGCTCCTGCCCCAGCCGTTTCTCATGCACCATTTATTAGTGCTGTTGGGCCCCTGGCGGTTGCCGTTTCCACTCTTGTTGGGTTTCTTTTGAACCATAAAGTGAAGAAACTAATTCCATAACAGATCATGTAAGCCTTGATAAACGCCTGCAGCTGATCAGATTGGTTGAGTAATTTGATGGATTGAGTAATTTCCTGGAATTGAGTTGAACTGACAATCCAAGATTAAAATCCAAGCATGAAAGGCTTTCCCTGGTGAAGGCTCACCTTGTGAGAAGAGGTGGGCTTGACATAACAATTCAGCATTGAAGGAAGCCAGAAGACCAGGGAAAGTTTGCAGCCCCAAAACAACCTTTGAATTAGTTGCCACCTGCAACATTAGGCTCTCACATCTTTATACAGTACCTGAACCCTCCTCTCAAGATGAACATCTTGACTCTGATAGTGAAAAACACACACTGCGTTTTGGGGAACCCAGATGACCAGTTCCTGCTCCACACCAGCCATGAGTTTGTTTCCCTCTTTCTCAGATAGGAATTAAAATCAAGAGTCTTTCCTTTCCATAGGGCAGTTGTGAATGCATCACACTGTGTGTTGTGTGATAGCCAGCATCAGAGCCTATGTGCGTACCCCTGAAAGGTACTTCTATAAATCTCAGTGAGATGCAATGTCTATATTTCAATTTACCCTTCAGGCAATGTACACACACTTGAAACTGCCCCTGTAATGTTTCCTGTTTGCACTGCAGTCAGTGCTAGCTTGAATTCAGGCACTACTGTTGTACTCTGCTAAGCCTTCTTTTAAGTGCTGTTTTCTGTCAATTCAAATTTCCTAAGGTGAAGATTAAATTTTGTGTAAAAGTTGCGTAGCATAATGAAATGTTTCAGATGGAGAAGGTTTTATGCAGCTAAAAATACACAGACAATCATGCACGACTGAAAAAAAAGAATAAATTCTTCCAATTGTGTATGGATCCTCATACGTAATGTCTGAATATTTTGTGACTAGTTAATTAGGATTCTCCTCCTTGTTGAGAAAATTAGTTATTTGAACTATTTGCAGTTATGGCTGATTTCCAATATGGATTATGTAATACAAGATCAGGAAGGTAGTGTT